AAGATAAAATCAGAAGAAAGTGTTTGGCTCTCAGTATTCCTCTGCTGTTTGAGGTCGTTACACAGTAGGTGTTTACCTGTGTATTTACATAAGGAGGTTACACAAGGACATCTCTAGTAGAAAAGAGAAAAGATTTGTTACTGTTTGGGGTAGGCATGAACACAGGCTCTGTGAGAAGCAAGCAGCCTTTAGAGCCTGCCGCTCTTGTTAAGTCCATGTTTGTGGATTTTTTTTTTTTTTTTCTTTTTTTTTTTTTTGCTTCCTCTTAAATCTGCCTGGCCAATTTAAAGCTTGTGGATATTTCTTCCCCCTCGGGGAAAGCTTATGTGAGGATTTTCTTTTTTAACAGTTCATTCCATGTAACCATTTTTTGTTTTTTGTTTTTTTTTTCTTGTTTGCTGTTAGAAAATGTTGGAGCTGAACACAAGGCTTTCATTGCAGGTCAGTGGATGAACTCTTGACCAAAGCATTTAACATTTGAGTGTAGCTTTAGCAAGCACTGTAGTTTGGGAGGGAAAAAAAGCGAGTTAACAATGTCGTATCGTGTGAGCCCATGTGTGCCTACTACTGGAATATGAATATTCTCAGGTCTTCAGTGACTGAGTTCTGCGCAGATGAATTTAGCATCTTTCTTTTGTAGACAAATGTACTGAATTAATATTTTACTGAGAATTGAGGTGACATCACAGTTATGTCTATATTATTTAATTCCCAAATGTCTCTACTCCCTTAAAATGCAATAAACCTTACTGTGAATTTCAATTACAAAGTTTTTGCCTTTTTATTTTGCAAAGATTGTCTTTTTGAGTTACAACATATTTTTTTTCACTTATTTTCAGCACGCTTTACTGGGAAGCGTGTTACTCCTGGGCACATGCTGTCTGCAGGGAAGATAGTTATTTGCTATTTTGTATTTCTTCTTAGATTGCTATCAAAGGAACCGAGAAAGGATGTAGTCATATTGTTAATGTCTGTCTTCAAGCTGTATTTGAGGTAAGGCAATCTTCTTTCCCTATCTCTGAAATTAGAATATGAAGTAGATGCAGTTTTTCTTTTGCTTATAGTTACTAAGATTATCCTGTTGCTATTTGATTTTCTTCTTGAAAAAATGTGAATGTATTTGTCAGAAAGCTGTTTCTTGCCTACGTGATGCTTAAAATCCTGTATTTTTATTCCAAGATTATCTACTACATATCTGCATGCGTCTATTAGCTCATATACCCTAGATCAATGAGAGATCATTTTTGTAGTTGCTTTGGTTTTCTCCTCTACTATTGTCACATTAAGTGTGTGAAAGAGTGGATTTCTTGCCCTGGATAGGCAATTCTTATGCAAACTTTGTAAAACTGAGTTACCGATTGTTTGCACTGTGAATCACTTTCCTTGTAAGATGATGACTTTTATGGTAATGTTTAACTTGAGTAGAATTGTTTTCAAACATATACAGTGCGTTTTTTTGTGTATTCTTTTTTTAACAGCACTCTAAAATAAAATAAAAAAATAATGATTCATATCAGACTGTTTCCTTCTCCACTTAATGTTGCCTGTTACGGGAAGTATACAGCTTTGAAAGGTTGAATCATTATTTATGGGGATCAGTACAGCTGAAAGGTGTCACTGCAGCAGTGGCCCTATGTAACTGCATTGAAAATGGAATTTGTATGGGATCCCACTGTTGGTGAGTTATGATTAGTGCCTGGGGAATTAGAAAATAGTACCTCTTGTTTATGTTTCTTTTCAAGCAATTTAAGAACTTGCCATTCAAGGGAGATTAATTTTTCTTTTACCCTTTTCTGTAGCAAGGTTACAGTTTTTATAAATCAAGATTTTGACACATGCTTTCTATATTTGTTATTTAAATCAATCTGTCTGAATCTTTGTCACCTCTCTTACAAGGGGAAGCGTCTTCTAAGGCAGCTGTGCTATATTGCAGGTCCAGAAACATTTTTAATTTAGAATTTAGAAAAATGTTCTAAATCTATCTTGTCTCTGAAACTGTTTGCTGTTTGAATTCCAAATGGTGTTGGCTCCATTCAAGAAATGTGTCTTTTAACAGTTTGTCGAGATGCTTTTCACTTGGGATGGGGTAGGGAATGATACAAGCTAGAGTTACAGAGCTACAAAGAACTATTTTTAATCTTGTAGAGCAAAAATTTTTATTACTCTAAGCGTATATAATACTCAAATGACCAATTCATTCAAAGGTGGTTTTAAAACCCATTGAGACATAACTTTCTTTAATTGGCATCACACCAAATCTTCTTAGTATTTTCTGTCATCTATTTTGGGGAGTTAGAAATCCATATCCTGTCACAGTGCAAATACACAACCTGTTTTCTACTGTCAAAATAAAAGCTGATTCCCTACTGTTGAAGTTATCTCAAGTTGAATGTGCCTTAAAGCCCTTAAAATTAAGCAGTATAATAAATGTATGAATCTTTATATAACATGTTTTTTGAACCATTTTCTCAACAAATGAGATACTGTCTCTGATCCAGCGGCAGTGGCAGAGGGTGTATTGGGCTGCATTCCTTCCCTTCTCATCTCTAGTCTGTGAGGTAATTGGTCTTACTTCTCAAAGGCAATCTCATGAGTAACACACCATGATGTGTTGACATTTCTGCTGTCATTACTTTTGCCAGAATGCTTTCTGGCATTGGGGGAAAGGAGGATAAATGATGTGGGTGCCTTGGTGTGATCTTTAGAGTTAGAGAATATGGGTATCTTACGAGATTCCAGCCTTCTTGCTTACCAACAGTTACTGGAGGGTATTTCTTCTGACGTTTGTGGTGCCAGCTTTCTACCTAGCCAGTGTAGCAGAGTTTGTGGCTTGTATTTCTCCTTGCATGCCCTGAACAGCATCAGGTCAACTGGGTGCTTGTTTTATTAACCTGGTGACCTGGTCTATGGATTGGCATGCCCTTAGTGAGGAAAGACTAGCTGTTATCTAGTTAGTCTAAATTACACACAACTCAAACCAGGTTAAGAAGATATGCAGTAAGAACTTTTATTTGTAACAGTTAAAACAGGCAACACACTTAGAAACTTATGCAAGATACAGACAAAAAAATAAAGGGCTAAAATGCTTATTCTATTTATACTTAGCTGATATTAGAAAGGTCTTTATTCCATCCTGCTGACTTGGTCCTTTTCTGACAAGATTTTCTTGTTTGCACATAGCTTTCAGGTCACATCTACTGGAAAAAGATTGTTCATGAGTCTCCTTCAGTTAGTTACCCTTCTGATGCGAGAAAGCACCGTCACACCATGTCTTTGGGAGCATATTTCAGGCCATTTTCTGATTCTTGAGGAACCTCTCATTTCTTATTCAGTCTTTTCTATAAAATTTTTCGAACAGTGCAGTATTACTCTTTCATCCCCAAACCCATTTTGTTTGTGTCTATCCAGACAAGGTGTCATCACTGTTCTTCATTATTACGTTATTAGAGGCTGAACAATACCTTTATTAGTGTATGTATTACCATCTTACTCTTGACTGGTTCATCCAAAGGGGAGTAAACCTCTTCACCTCCCTTTTGGACTTAGTTTTCAGGGGAAAAAAACAGTCTTCATGGTGTATTGTCTACCAATGAGTGTATTAACATATTTAATGTTGTGCAGAGCTGTGACTGGCTTTTTTCCTGACACTGAGAAGAGTTGTTTGTGAGAGGATAGCACAGAGCTGTGTGTTAATTTGCCTACTGAGTTAGGTGACAGGATAGAAGACTTGGGGGGCATAAACTGAAGACTTTCAGGACCAAAGGGTAGAGAGAAATGGATCTGTAGCAAGCTTGGCAAATTGCTTTTCTTTTAACTCTTCAGGGTGCAAATATTACACCCACATTATCTCGTCGTGTGTACATTTTAGAATGAGTGTGCGACCGCAGTCTCTATGAGGGCCTCTCAACACTGTTATAATATTACTAATAAGGAATCATGTCTGAAGTCATGTCTTGGTCTGAAGAGAGGCCTTTTGGCAGAATGCCATGTTGCTGGAGGGCTTGAGTGAACCCCAGTGGCTTTTGTTTATTCCTGCAATTGAGTGGAGCTCTTTCATTGCAACTCGATTGCATTTAGGGAGGCGTATAGACTTGGGAAAATAAAGACTTGGATAAAAATACCACCCGCTAAATGTCTCCCACAGCCTCCGGGGAGCTTGACCAGCTCAATGGCAGTTGTCGGCATCTGCTTCAGGAAGTGCCACGAGCCTGTTGATCAGGCTGAAAGAACTATATTCCTTGTGTTCTACCTCAGCTGTGGCAAAACATCGAAAGCTAAAGCCTTAATAGCAGGTTTCCATTTGTTTTGGTTCATTAACTACTCATTTAGAAGCAGTAACTGCTTAGGGGTACAGAAAGCCCGTCTTCTTGTTTCACACCAGCATTAGGAAACACAGGCACGGCAGCCTGGTCTTCCAGGCACTGAGTTGGGAATTCTTGATTGGGATGTTCTTTGTATGGATGCCTGTTGTTACATTTCGAGTGACTGGAAGGCATCAGAAAAATCAGTGAGGTGCCTGTAGAGACTTCGCAGGTTTCTTTTGCTTTTTTCTCAGAAGTACTATTTTTGGGTCCATTGAAGGGACTGTTCCATGCCAAGCACCACTGAAGCCAATGGTAGTGTTCTTAAGAGTACATTATCATGAGCATTGTTGAGTTCTTCAGTTTATCCTAAACTCCATGAAGCTGCAGTTCTGCTGTCCAGTTGAAGCCATATAGCCATTCTGCCAGTTTAATTACTGGCCTGCTCTCAGCTCAAGAGAACAGGCTTGCAAAGGTGGTATGAGCATAATAAAACAATTGAAGTAATGCAAATGTCCAAGTAAGTTCATTTTTTGCTGGTGATATCTCTGAGCTAGATTGGGCAAAATCTAGCAAAGATGATGGGGGAGAAACAATAGGAAAAACTTTGCAGGAAGTTTTCATCGTCAGTAGCAAATAGAAGAGGTGATGGCTTTCATTTCGAAGTCTGTGCCTGTGAGGAAGTGGGCTACCCCTCCATTTACATGAGTAGCTGTTGCCTTCATGTTGTATTGCTGTGATAACAGGGAAACATAAACCAGTCGCTTGGACATGGACATCATCCTCCTATTCAAAAAGAAAAGAATAACATAACAGTGATAGAAATTCTACTGAAATGAAATCCTGGGGAAAAAAAATATTTTTTTTCCTTTTTCCTCTCCATTGTGTGACTGAAAGTGGTCCTGCTATTTACTGGCAAGAAGACGCGGAACAATATGCACTCTGGCAACCTTGGAACAGTCTGCAGATACCCCTGGGAATTGTTTCTACTGGAGAGGGTTGTGGCAGCAATAGGTTTATGGCTTGCTGTCTCTGCAAAAACAGCTCAGGCTATAAATAGTTGACAGTTCTTAAATTGAATAATTCTCTCTTCCTCTCCAGGATGAGAAACTGAATCAAGATTTTCAAAGCCAAAAGCCTGCAACCACATATCCCTATTAATCATCTGTTTGTAATGCTGCTCAGATTTTTGAGGGAATTCTCTTATTGTTTCTGTTTTACGTATAGCGAACAGTCTCACCCAAGATCTTTCCAGTGGGGCAGTGACAGAACCAGAAGCAGGACTTGTCTCCTGCATTTCAGCTCACATCTCTGCCTACTAGATTAAATTCTATTGTATAGCCATATTTAGAAATTAGAATAATTTAATTTGCAAAACAATTGAGCCATTTGTAACTTCACCTGATTTGGATCTGGTTTACTAAGTGATGGCTGCTTTTGAAAGTTGGGTTGATAAAGAATTGCAGGGTAGAATATTCAAACCACAGGAGTGATTGAATATCCAAAGGGCTCCCAGGTGTGCACACTCAAGCAGATGACTTCAGTGGCTTTCACCTGTTACTCAGACCAGCATTGGTGGTCACTGGTTTGTGTTTCACTCGCGTCTTTTGCTGGGATGTTAATGATGAAGGTAAGGAGACGTTATGTCACCTGTAATGCCACTTCTGCTGCCAAGGTGGTACTTCCAACTAC